CCGGAGGCATTGTACTCTATCACGACTATCTGCAGTACGGTATTACCCGGGAGGATTTGTTAGCAGCCAGTGCTCGTGCATTAACGTGGGTGATAGGATCGGCGAGGATTAGGGGTACTAAAGCTACTTGCTTGTTGGAACTGCACTAGTATTTAAGTGGAATTTACCTCCCTAATCCAGCGGGTGATGGTGAGGCCTCCTCAATTGCTAGCTGCGCTGCCGCGCACGCCAATACCTGACCCGGTTTAAATCAACAATGAGCCGTCGTCTTAAAACATCACAAGACAGGTTTCACAGAAAAACCTCTCAAGTTCTCTCACCCTGGGTGGATCTAGCAAAAATGATGTGCATAAATCTAGCCTTAGCCGACCTGCCTGTTCACCATTGGAACCCTGATTTAGCGCGCAATCCGTTCTGCTGTGTTTTTGGTAATACCATGCCTTATTGGGTAAAAAGTAGAGTCGGGCCGATACTATAGACTCCAATATGTTCTGATCAATATACGAGTGCGGCCGATAGATATATTCGTCACGTGAGTCTGATAAGAAAGTTTCGGTGCACCTTTTGGCTGCGATTTGTCCTTAGATAAGGCACGTGGCGAATATATCTATTGGCCACACTCGTATGATAGTCCCTGAGATTGATCCAAACTAGCTTCCATTGAGACCTGAAAGTATTGCCAGTAATCATTCCGCTCCCGCGCTGGGACACCCGCATCCTATCGCTCCGGTAGTCGAGATCTCCCTGACGATTTGTGTTCAACAAGTGGAAACCCGTGGGATCCTCTTGCATGCCCTGATTCGGGATGGTGTTATCAAGGCCTGTTACACACTTCAAGGAAGAGACTCATGGTTTATCACTCGCTAGAACCCTGGTTTCAAGTTCAAGGTTGGTTCTCAATAGCCAACATAGATACTTCGGGCTCGGAAGGGCACCTTCTTTGATGCAGCAATTTCAGGCAGCTCACAGCACAATAATTTCCAGCGCGTAGACTAAAGATATATTATTCCGTAGATACCATCCTGATAGAAAAGTGGAGGGGGACAGGAACAGATATCGGCTATCTTTTCAGAGCCCACCACCCAGTGGCAACCAGACATATACCTGCCTCCGGGCCTTCACTAACGAATTACCGAATGAATATACTTTTGGGATTGGCCAAAAGAGTGAGAGGTATCGTAGTAGCGGCATCGCTCGGAAGAACATCGCAAAGCCTATGGTATGAAGACTTGGGCGAAGCAAACATGCACGCACAGTATCAACGCTAAACACCCTTGCATCCGGCTCACCGTTAGTATACAAATATGACTTCGGTCGGAAGGCCGGGGAAGTGAGTTATATGGCCTGGGTGGGGTTCTTCACTCGGAATTAATGAATATGAAACTCAGCTCTCTATCCATGGCCTCGATATCCCGGGTGAGGCCAGGGTGGTTGGATGATTCTTGGAATGTTTCTAATTACCACACCATGGCACGCCGGAGCATCGGAGTGAATAAGCGCGGTTCTAGAGAGTCCGGTATTCCCCCAGGGTGGCCCAGCCCACTAGTTTTTCTAGCTTATTGGAGCACTGACCATGGACAGGAGAGTCCTCATTCAATGCAGAGGCAACAGGATAAATACACGCCATTGCTTCCTTCACCATCGGTACCTCACACCTCCCATCTGGTCCATAATGCCCCGGCAGACCCAAACTCAAAGCACGTATTCTCCCTCACCCAACGCCTGACAGAAAACTGAAATTAACACAGATTGCTGCCAGCCCGGACCTTCACGATCAAATTCCAAGTAATCTCTCCTTCTACCACACCTCCATCAAACTTACTTTAACTCAAAATATGCAGTGCTTCTAAAGTTCCTTCCACTTCTCGCCCTCTTCCTATCTCTCACTCACGCAGCGGCACTCGCGAATCCTTTCGCCGAAACCGACTCTAGAAAGCACGAGTGCGTGTACGGTGACTGCCAGTGCAACGAGGGGTATAAGGGCAAATTCTGTGGCCGTTGCAATGCCGTTCTTACATGCCCACCTGGGCAAGCCTCCTGCGAGAAGCAGCTATACTATTGCAATCCCGATGGGAGTTGCTGTAGGTACGGGATGAGAGCCCGGTGCCAGGGTTCCGAGGTTCCCTGTGGTTAAAACATGGCTTTTTGCCAGACAATGAATGGGTAGAGATCCGGGGATGGGGAATTGGGGAATACCTTCGGATAGGTGTGAGATATATTGCCTTAAGCTGGATAGGACGGGGCCAGCTTTTTCGCTTGTTATTATTTCAAACTTTCTCTTTATGTGCCCGGTTCTGGAGTATCTATTTATTTTTTTTTTTTTTTTGTCAGAACTCGAGTTTTCAGGCCTGGCAGTATCAGGCACTCTGGGTTAGTCCTAGACATACTATTGGACCTTACAGAATTCATGAAATATGAATCTCAGTTTAATCTGATTAACTCCGAAGTCAGTATTGGCATGATGCGAACAAGTAAAGCCAAAATTGAAGTCAAAAGTTGCAATTCATGTATCCTCTATAGCCTGCTATAGTTATAGCTAGGAAATCTAGTGAAATTTGGAGGGTTCCTGGTTTGCGGGACTTGTCCTGGAGAGAGCTTAAGGGGTTTTCCTATTCGGTGAGCCCGTTGAGGGGAAGATGAACAACGGCCAAGGCATGAGACATGATCTGCAATGTACCTGCTAGTGTCCCTCGCACCCGCTGGGCCATCTAAAGTCCATGGCCCCGCTATCATAGCTCATGAATTTCAGGATTGCCTGGCATGTCTCGAGGCGCACCTCTTATAAACCTCAAGACACTGCGTAATCTTACAACTACAAGCATCAGGTGACAGCTTCTCTCCCAGTTCTGAGCGGCACACCGTACATTGGAATGTGGGAAAGTTCAGCGCTAATGGCACTATCACTACTGCTGGGGGTAACCGTAGACTGGCCCGACGTTAGTCAACCTTTTAAACAAGTATAATGCACATACTGTGATGGCGAGCTACGGTCAGCTAACATCTGCAAAAGAACCCTGGATAGCCCTCAAGTAATCAAGCCCACTCGATGGTTGTTAAGGTTGTTTGGGAAACGTAGTAGGTTGTGGTGGATAGTAGAGCGCTCGGGGGATCTTGGAGGTGGTTGCTTTGATTCTGATGTTATAGTAATTTTGGGGGAAGTTTCTCCATATATGACTCGCCTTTATGCTCTCGAGCGTGTGTGTAGAGAAATAGAGACACATGTAGGGAGAAAATCAGAGACATGTAATTACTAATGAAATCATTCGGGTCCTTGCTCCACATTTTCTTTTACTAGTTTCCTGTCTTTAGTCATAGTTCAGAGTGGACACTAAAGGGGAGGAGGAAGGCTGCTCACATGTACTTCCAGCAGCTGGCTTATACAGCCCAGGCCTCATTCGACTTCTACTTTAAGTGCTGATATATACTTTTAAATTCCAATATATGGTGAGGAGTCATTGGGCTTTATCGGGGACAGGAATAATACCAAATTTGCTAGCAGTGTCCTCAACCGCCCGGGGGCCCCACGTGGGGACTGCTAAGAGCCCTGGACGGGACGGGACGGCCATGTGCAGTCCGTCCGGGGCGGTGAGAGTAGCGGATGGCCGTCTTTGGGTAGGATGGCGGGCCCTATGGGGTGAAACAATGCCAAGGGAGGCGGCGGGGGACCTCCGGGGACGCCAGGGGATTGGCAGGGACGGCGGGGGACAGCCGAGAGCTATCATCTTGTCCCTAGAATTTTATGCAGCAGGACTGCAGTCCCCGGCAGTCCGTCCAGTCATACCGGTCCAGGGCGTAGTCCGTCCTGGCACTCCCAAAAAGACGGACTGCCAGCTATGGTCCGTCCTGTCCTACCCCATAGACGGACGGACTGGACGGTTGGGAACACTGTTTGCTAGGGGCCGTAAATGCATATCATATACCATGGCTTGACCCAAAGGCGAAACTACGATGGTATATGGTTTGAGGTGAATCAAAAGATAACATTAGGGCTGGTACTCTCAAGGGATATCCCTTGTGCGGTGTAAGAATAATAAGAACAAAAACGGAAACCAACCTTTGGTGGCTGCGGAATGGAGATACCAGTATGCATCTTAGAAAATAAAATAAAATAAAATAAAATAAAACAAGCTAATAGAATAATAGCAGAGAGAGAGAGAGAGAGAGAGGGAAATCGAGAAGAGCTGATTGAGGATCATAATATTTCCTTGAAAGAGCTAACAGATTTGCATGCCTTCATGTCCTTTACCCTAAATAGAAAAAGAAATACTTTACAACTTTATGCTATTATAGGATGGGTTCATTTTCGCCAGTTACTAAGCAATATCTGGGGCTGGATGGCGCTGTACCTTAGATGATGAATATGGTAATGTGGTGTTAGGGATTTCTAGAGAGCGAGCTTATTTGAAGAAGGGAACGAAGGGGTAGAAGAGGACCTAAGCTCTTCTTTTGGATCAAGCCAAGATGTTGGAGTTGGTCGTATAGCATAATGCCTTCTTTGGTCAACTGCAAAGCGCACGCTCGGTTGTCGGGGTTTTTACAGTTGATTGTGGAATGGGAAATGCTTTACCACTCTCTTCTCACTTCAAAGGGTAACCCTTAAGGTTCCTTTATCTAAGTTCTTATATGATACGTGTTTCTGCGATTCTGGTAGACACAGTGCAGTCTATTATGAAGCACGAGAGAAGGTCAGCTGGTCCAAAAGACATCTTTTCCAGGACCCCAGTGAACATCTTGATCCGGCACATAATAGGGCAATCAAACACCACGATGCTAGAAACAGCACTAGAAAACGATGACTATGCGTGTACAAGTACCAAAGCGCCACACTACCAATCCTAGACCCGAACAAAAAGAAACAACCCCATCCAAAGGTCGCCAATAATTCATCAAAAAAGAAAAAAATTGGAAGATTGGAAAAAAAAGGAAAATTCAACAATACGCAAAATAAAAATATGCCACCGCACCCGTCAAACCCCAAACAAGCATATAAGAGGAGCACTTCACTCCTCCTGCCCAGTTCTACAATTCCTCGTGCTCCCTTTCCCGCTATACCACCCGCCCATCCTCAATCTCCTCTCAACATCCCGCCAGTATACCGCCCGCCCACCCTCCCCGCCTTTAAGATCCAGGTCGCCGACTTTGGCATCGATCTTCGCTTCCATACCCTTTCCCCGGCGCTTGCGCACCCAGACTTTCAAGAAGAGGCTACAGTCGCGGAGCGTCATTGCAGTCCAGATGTCGTCCTCATCCGAGAGGGCCGGTTCGTACTTCTCGCCGGTGGCCAGGCACGCTCTACGTATCTCGTCTTCCGACGGGAGGATGTCCTTCTCGCCCATCAGGGCTAAGGTGGCAGACGTGAATACACCGCGGGACCCGAAGCGAGATTGTAAGGTTGTGAGAAGGGGAATAATTGGGGATTTTCCGAGGAAGTTTGTCAAGAGCGTGACGAGTGAGCTTTCTAGACACTTTGCGAGTTTCTGGTTCAGGGTTGGTGGGGCTGGGCTATCGCTATCGCCTTCGTCATCGGATGGGGACGTTGGATCAGCTATCATGACCGAGTTCTCCATATTTAGAATTGCGAAAGTGGCTCTCTCGATGCGTGCCGGGTCACCGGAGGATAAATCTAGCGGACAAAAGTCCCGCACTTCCTCTTCCAAGTCGACTTCCTCCCCCGGCACGCCGAGCAAGCCCTTGGTTTGCTCCTTGGCGGACTGCATATGTCTCACAGCGCACGTGCGACAGAGCACCCAATTCACTGGGGCATTCGGCGACTGGGCGAGCCATTTCGGCTTAAACTCGATCATGGCCATGTCCTTCCACTCATCGCTTCCCTCATCCTGCGCGTCATCCATCTCCTCCTCCTCCTGCGTAGGCTCCGGCCGCATCTCCATCTCGCTGTACAAGTAGTTGCCGCAGCTCATGTCCTCCACGACTAATCCCCACGACTCGGTATCGTCCAGCAATCGCCGTTTCTTCGGCGGCCTGATCGGACGGCCGGACCAGTCTGTTGCCTCCTCCGCATCACTCATGGCGAGCATACTGTTCAGGTCGGGGATTATGTTAATGCCCAGTTTGACGATCTCTGTTTTTAAGAGGTAGTTGTCCAGCAGGGGGCCCCAGCGAGAGTGCAGGTAGGCATGCAATTGCTGAGTCGTGGGCGCACCGGGGAGACGCTTTCGTAGACGGAGGAGATAGGGCCGCTATGGCCACTTTGGTCAGCCGCGTTTTCCACCAGATGAGGGTGTACAGTACGCACGAAAAAAGGATCGGCTCCGATATAGCGGTAGAGCACGTTTGCGGCTCCTTCCCCAAAGTACTCCCACTCCTCCGCGTCATCGAGGACGTATCCATCCAGCGGCGGTGGAATAAGCGAAGGGTCCATGATATCGTGTGTAAATTGTCTAGGATGGCTGGGAAAATAGCGGCGGAGGAGGAGGAGAAGGGGCCGAATTTCGTTGCGGAAGCAAGCTGTGAAGAACTTCAGCAGCGACTCTAGTCTTGGCGAATTTTCCGAGGGGGATGCCCAAGTAAAGTATTTGCTTTTACCATAGAGTCGGGTAAATATAGTGCCAATTGCGACGGGATAGTATGATTGTACGAGTATCGATGATGGTGGTGGCGCAATATAATAATCGAGTAGCTCGGTGGAAGTGACCAAGCCCGATTAATTTCCAATGCGGCAGACCGTCTTTGAATAACGGCACCCCCGACACACGACCTGGTGAGCATTTTTAAGTTTAATCCGACCCATTCCTCTCGAACCACTACCGGTAGACTACTGCCCACCTTGTGGAGTCCTCACGCAGCGTGGGGTGACCAAACAGGGTGGAGGGAGAGGGGAGTAAATTAGGTCGTGTCTGGTGTTTTGTGAAAAGATGGGGATCTTGATAGGCTGGGAGGGATCATCCCATCATTGGACCACAATAATGGTCCAACCACGATTAATCTCCCCGCATCCACCTTACTCGTCCTATCTCCACACCATACTGACTTTATCATACATATCATGCTCTCATTGTTATTTTTTACTGGAGTCAGGGGAGTAGATAATCTATAAAATATGATTGCCCACCCAAGTGGTATAGAGAGGCGTGCAAGAGTGGCAATCCCTCCCCCCAGTTCCAATCCCTGCCCAACTCACCCGGGGTGCTCATAGGGGCGTAGTGCATTGGTGATGTCACAAATTGCGGGCTCCATCCCCAAACGTCGGAAGCGAGAGTAGGAAAAGGAAAAGGATAAACTAAAATACAAGTCCTGTACGAGTACAGCGATGACAAGAAAGTAACCGGACACTAGCGCAAATTTCCATGCACTACAAGTTCATAAATGTCTCCAAACCACACAAGACCTCGGCTATACTCTCAAGCCTAGTACTCCACCAGCTCTCGAGCTAGAATATCGTGAAATTGGGCATGTAGGAAGGAATGGTCAACGGGATACATGTGTGAGACAAGGAGCAGAAAGTATTGTAAGGCAATCACAGAATGTAAGTTTCAGAGAGGGGTTCTTGTTGGAAGTCACCTCATGTACTTGAACTCATGTTAGCTCAGCGGGTTTGAATACCTCTACTACTAATACCCCGGAGTTTGCAAACTAAGGACTATGTCGTACTGCCCTGAATCCACCAGTTCTGAAAACCCCCTCCACCCGAAATCAAAACATTCCATCCTATCTATACTCTCTCCCTCAATTGATCCACCACCACCTAGCCTTAGCTTTATTTGCCATCTCAAATTCCTGAACAAGCTCTCTTGCGACATTCTCCGTAAGCTTTGAGTGAAAGGTTATCCATTTTGCGGCAGGCATAGCTGTAAATATATTGATTGAAAGTAGGTGTTCACTAAGTTCGATAGTCTTAGCAATTCGGAAAAAATGGGATATATGGATACGACCCTCTTTCAGGATATGGTTTGCAATTTTGAGTCCTACCTGTCTCATCTCTCCCCTCTCCATTATCATCTTAGCTTTCCGGAATTTGCTCTTCTCGGTTTCTACCAATTTTGCTCTTATATCTGTCAGAGCAGGTTAGTAAATGATTACTTTATCGCATTTCAGAGATAAGGTAAAGAATATACCTAAGAAATTTCCACCTGCTTTAAGGCGCTCTGAAACTGTCCCGAGAAGGCCTGCACGACCGCCTACAAGATCATAAATTGCCAGAGCCTCTTCAGAGCTTAGGCCCCGTATACGGCAAACACCAACTGCTTCATCATAACTAAGATCCCCCACCTCGAGCACTTCCCCCAACCTGGATATGGCTGAACGAGCTATGGCAATTTCATGTATATTGTTAGCATATTAATATTCCAAATTACTGTAAAAACCCAAATAACAAAATCATGTGCTATGAGGTTGAGAATTCCCTACTTCGGAAAAGAGGTGAAAAACATAGCAAAAAACAAGCTCCCCAGCCATTCTGAAAAACTTAAAAAACAAAACCACCAGACGCATACCATACCAGAGGAGGTAACTCCAATGACATAGCATACGGTTCGACTATTGGAGTATTGGTAGTAGGCACTACAGTGGAACAGAAAGGGAGAGAGCCTACCAAACATACTAATCGGTGCCCGACCCTCGCTAGTAACAAAGACTGTGACAAACAGTCTTTCATCCGCGGCATCTTTCGCCATATCCTGCAAGACATCAAGGAGTTTCGGATTCTCTAAAGCAAGACGATTGACATTGTCAAGTACAAGGACAGGACTGCGACTGTTGTTCTTCCGAAATATCCTAGCCTGGTTTTTGAACTCGTTATATACGTCTGCAAAATGTGGCTTTTTATCTGTTTAAAGTTAACTGCAACCCAATTTTATTTGTGCTGCATGGGCAACTCACCACTAGGTTCCGCTTTGTCAATAATATGGATCTTGCTCAACAATACTGTGAGCCAGGTCACCACAGGTGGAGACCAACGGAACGCACTAGCAAACTCCCTGGCAAACTCCTCCTTCGTAATGCCCATTATGTCAACATCTATGTAAACGATACCACCAAGCTGGTGCCCGATGTAGCGGATCAATGTCGTTTTGCCTGTGCCATGGTTTCCGACAATCATGTCGTAACAGGGATAACCATGAAGTGGCTGGAGAATCGATATAATCTCCTTCGTAATATCCTCACGTTCTACCAGATCCCCAACTGGGGTGACTTCTGGTACAGATCCCTTATCGAATGAGCTGCGTAGATTTCTCTCTCTGACGCGAGCCCCATAGTAGGCGTAAATAATGTCACCGGCGGAAACAAGAACGATCATCCCTAGACCCACTAGCAATTTGGAGAAGAGAAAAACCTTTGAGAGTCAGCTTGATGAAAGCAAAAAGACATGGGGCCAGAGGTAGTTGTGCTTACACCAATCTTTTTCATTATCCATTTCTGTGACTCTGGCGATAAATTGCGGGTGGGATTAGTCTGTTCAGCAGAGGGGGATGATCTAGGGTCCTCTGCAGTAGAGAATTTGCGGTAGCTGTGTTGGTAAGGGTATTTTGGAAGCATAACACCGATTTGAGAAAACATTGAATTGGACCCATGGAACGGATAAGTACCGAACTTGAAGGAACGAGTAGAGGAGAGGGCGGAAAAAAGGTGAGAAGTGGAGGGCCTAATCCAAGAAGCTCTAAATGCCATCATACCTGCTGTCTAGTGCAGATGGAGTTGATCAACTAATAGGTTCACCTAATGGGTAGAGACGTGAATGGAGACTCAAATGGTGGTGGATGGCAATGGGAGGAGGGAAAGAAGGTTGGCTGTTAAATAGCAAACAAAACGGCTCATGCCAAGTTGTTTTCGCTTACCTAAGCCGTTCAAGCTCGTATGGTCTCAATCCAGGAGAGCTGTCTGTCTTTTGGACCCATGCCCCAGTCTATTTATCAGACATAGCTCCTCCTTCTTTCCTTCATGTTACATTTCCCTCGCTCCTTTTTTTACCTCTACCCCTATCCAGAGTATAGATATCCTAAATAATCACTGCTCTAGTTTACCACGGTACGGCACTTCCATCTGACCTATTGTGTCATGTTCGGCCCCCCGGTAGGGAATGGGGGGTGGGGAAGAGAAACCCGCCCATAGATTTCCTGAAAGTCCTCACCTCCACCCGATCCGATTCTCAGGTCGCCAACCGGCAACCGTCCCGTTCACCATAGCCTTACCGGAGGGACCTCCACCGACACCAAGAGTGCGGCATGCCCCACCCTTGCACAACACCATATACCTCCCTTCACCGGCTCTGACACCAGAAACATCTCGCGGAACTTCTCGGTTTTGCACAGAAGCCCTACTATGGGGGGTCGGAGTCGGGCACAGAAGCTGACGATGAGCTTGCGCGAAAGCTTCCCGCTCCACCGGGAATGAGGAGCCGCACATCATCCGAGGCGAGGTTTTCCGGGAAGGAATATGATACTCTGGATGGCCAAGAAGGCGAGAGAGGTAGACGGCGACGGAGACTGATCAGTGATGGATGTGGGCTGGGGGGAGATAAGAAGAGAAAACCTAGTGGAATTGTCTTTGTGCGCCGTGGCATTGAAATCAGCTTGATGGGAATATTGGTTGGTATTGTGTTTTGGAGCAGAGGGGGAGGATCTGGAAAGAAGTGGGTATACGGAGACAAGGTAAATTGAGCTTGGGCTAACGGTTGGATTCAAAAACTACTGGAGCAGTTTTTCGTTTTGCTAACTTAGGGATCCAGAGTTCACTGCGTGGACGGCCGTGCTTTTTACAATTTTGGCCTCTTGCCCACTCCCAATTCTACTTCACGGCAACTCCCTCGTGCTTCCGAGATCCCTTGATCCAGGCCCACTTCTATACCCTATTTTTTCCCCCATATTGGTCGCACTTTCAATAACAAAGGAGAACACAATGAGCAAAAACCCGTACGTTGCCTCAAATCTAATTCTCAGTCTTTCATCCCTGCCGCCAACCCTTATACCAAGCTGCGATCTTCGCTGGATGCTGTCTCTACTGCCCCTCGCGATCTCGGCGCACCCCCGCAAGTGGCCAAACCCCGAATCCAATTCCGATGCGCTCTCATTTCTCCCACCACTTCACTTTGTATTAAACTTGGTTCTGACCACTCTTCTACATCTCTCCCTGACCTCAACCGAGCTTAAAATGGTTACAACGGCGTTGATCAACCTTTTGATTTACGCATCGTCGCCCCAAGCCATTATTCTAAAAGCTGTTCTCTGGGGCGGGGGTCTGGGCACCCTGATTCTCTGCGAAGAGGTCATAAGGTGGGTCGTCAATCTTGCACGCGTTCCTTCTCACAAGTTGCGCCGCGCTGGATATGCCATTATCAGCATTAGAAGATGGAAAAAGTTCACCTCTCTAAGAGCGAAGGGGCAAGCAAGTGATAACGAAGAGGAGCTGCTGAATATAACCTTGAAAACTTCCAAGTCGGCAAGGCTAAGGCCCGTTAGCCAAAAATCTTTCTATACCGCTCACGCACGAGCAAGCCAGAAAGCCCAAACTCGCATATTCTCTATGGGTATATGGTAGCGTTGTGTGTATCGTCATGATAGCGCTGCGCCCCTATATCTCGAAGTATGCCCTAGCTGGCGTCGACCCGTTTCTCTGGGCTCCCGGATATCTTCTCTGCGGCCAGAGCTGGTATTAGAGTCTAGTTGACAGGATAGCCCCGGGCTCTGGGTACTGCGTCACGGGAGGGGCCGCGTCTGCCGCCAATCTCCGGTTGCTCATAATCGGATGCTGGCTAGTGGTGCTAGTCGTGGGAATTAGTTTAGTGACCGCTGTCCTGGCACATATTGAAGTAAATACCAGGAGAAAGGTCTTCCATGGAATGGTTGTCATCATGTTTCTTATCCCGGGGGTCCAGGACCCGGCATTCACATATCTTGGGCTAAGCCTGATACTAGCGGTATTCCTACTTCTCGACACGGTCAGAGCAGGGCAGCTACCCGCATTCAGTGGAAAAATCGCCGTATTCCTGCAACCTTTTGTTGATGGAAGAGACCTCAAAGGTCCGGTAATTGTTTCCCACGTCTTTTTACTCCTTGGCTGTGCTGTTGGATGGTGGTTTACACTTGCTTCCACAGACTCCCAGGAGGGTGATTCCTGGGATCAGTCAGGGAGGCAGGTCGGTTTGGCCTTTGTGAGCGGGGTAGTTTGTGTCGGACTCGGCGACGCAGCCGCGTCACTAATTGGAAGATGATTTGGAGGAACCAAATGGGGCTAGAGAGGCGGGAAAAGTGTCGAGGGGAGCCTCGCCTTCACTCTCGCCGTTGTGACCGACTTGAGCGTGGCCAGGTGGTGGGTGGGCACGGAAACCCAGACATGGTCTCTCGTAGACTGGGCCAAGATTGCCGCAGTAGAGCATTGGGGGAGCATGGTAGAAGCGGTGGTAACCGGCGTTAATGACAATATTGTGGTGTCTGTCGGTGCTTGGATATTGGTCCGGGGTTTGGGACTTTCGTAATGGCTGGCCCCCACCCAGTTGTTCCGAATACACCAACTCTGTTTTTGGGGATTTGGCGCCACGGATTCCACGGGGTTGGTTTTTTCTTTCTCTTTCTCATACCGGTTTTATATGGGGGGTTGGGCTTATATTAGAGGATTGGTGGGAGTCATGATTCCGGATAATGCCCCGCCAGCGTTTATAATCACTATATTTCACTCCTATAGGCATATACTCATTTTCGATTGGTAATGGATGCCTATATACAAGTACCTGTATTGGTATTCGACTCGTTACCCCCTCTACCCCCGCCGGAACGGGGAAACAAGCGCACAGCCGCCTTCGCTGACAATGGCATCACTCGTAGGAGCACTACAGTACGGCGCGTAGACTATATGACAATTCTACCCCGCACGGTATATCACTGTACCAGTACCGGTATATATAGTGTTCGGGTACTATCACTCGAGTTGACAAGCGGCACTCTACTACTAGTATTGTCTGTTGACAAAAATAACCGACCAAGGCAACCAGTCACTTTACTTTATCATCTAAAACTAAAGACCCCAACAACAAACCTCTTTTAATAATAATAAACAATGCAATCAATTATCTTTATAAGTTTAAATAGTTAATAGCATGAGTAGAAACATAAATAAAAGTTTTGTTTAGGGAATTCTGATTGCTGTGAATTTAAAGTAGTATAAGTAGTATTATTTGAAATAATAAATATTTTTCTATTTTATGGTACCTTACCTATATCCTATGGAAAAAACCTAGTATTACTATACCTATAATATATAAAGTACCTCCGCAAAAGTGTTGGTGAAATGACCTTTTTATACCAAAAATTGACAGGTTTGATCAATCCCCACACCTGGATTTGCTCCAAATAATCCTTATAACCTATATAATTATTTTCACCTTCACTGCAACTTTTACCCAACACCATTCCACCAACCCCTCTGTTGTTACCCTTTTTTTCTGGGCTAGGAAAGTGAGTGAGATTCCATGATCACACCTCAAGTTTCTTTATATATTTATGTTTAAATTCAATTATGCACCACTTTCTATATGCCAAGCAATTACATACCCTATTTGGACTGCTCTGGAACAGGTAAATAAAAAAAATTCTGTTTTCTAATCTTTGAAAAATGAGTGAGATTCTATGATCACACCTTAAGTTTCTTTATGTATTTGTGTTTAAATTCAATTATGCACCACTTTCCATATGCCAAGCAATTAGATACCCTATTTTGGACTACTCTGGAACAATTAAATAAAAAAAGAATTCTGTTTTCTTCTTCTTGGAAAATGAGTGAGATTCCATGATTGTACTCCAATATTTTTATGTATTTATGTTTAAATCCAATTATGCACCAATTTCCATATGCCAAGAAAATACATACCCTATTTGGACCACTCTGGAACTATTAATGATAAAAAAATGCTGTTTTCTACTATTCTCAGGTCTGAATTGGCTGATTTATAGTGTGATTTCCCATTTTAAGGTAATAGCCATACCAATTTGGGAGTGCCAAGGATATTACTACCTCAATCAGACTATTCTGAATACATTGGTAACAACAGATTTCTCTTTTTCCCACTCTATAAACCTGTTTTGACCCAAGAAAGTCCCTATTTATTGTGGTATTTATTGCGGTACCCCCCGCGATCTTCACGGAATCTGCCCCAATTATTTCCAAAACTTTACAGAATCCTTAAATCCCTATTCTAAACAGTTTTATTACTTTAAAATTCTGTTATCCCCGCAGTATTTCTTCTCATTCCATACTTTGTTCTTTCCTTAATTTTGAATTCTTATATTTTCCATAGTAGGTATCTACTAAGAGATTTAGGAAATCTTGGCAACCTCTGTTTCGCTCCTACAATCTTTCTGAATATTTTTCTCAGAATTCTCTCTCCTTCTCTTACCACTTCTCATGCACCTACCAACCCCTCTGTTGTCAAACTTTTTTTCTGGGCTAGGAAAGTAAGTGAGATTCCATGATTACACCTTAAGTTTCTTTATGTATTTATGTTTAAATCCAATTATGCACCAATTTCCATATCCCAAGCAAATAGATACCCTATCTGGACTAGTCTGGAACTTAAACAAAAAAAAAAAAAAGAAATGTCTCTTTCCACTCTTAGGAAAATGAGTGAGATTCCATGATTGCCGGGAAGGTGAGTGAGATTCCATGAACAATCCTAACTCTCTGTAGCACCCTGTTTTCGGCCAATAACCTGCCTATTTGGGAGTGCCAAGACACTCTATACCCCTTTTACGCTATTTTAAATGGAATAGAAACATAAAAATTGCTTTTTTTCTGCTGTCAGGCGCCGATTTCAGTGATAATTAGCTGATTTCTTACAGTATCAAGACTTTTCAGGTAATAAACATGCCTATTTGGGGGTGCCAAGGACATTACTACCTCAATTAAGCCTGTTCGAGTACACTGGAAGCAAAAGATCCTAACTTTTTCAACTCTATGGACCTGTTTTCAGCGAATAAAGTGCCTATTTATTGTGGTATTTATTGCGGTACCCCCCGCGATCTCCGTCAATATTGCCTCTTTTGGCCCCAAACTTTAATACCACCTCTATTAACCTATTCTAGACCTGCTCAGCTTGTTAAATTTCTATTATTGCTTAAAACTTCTCTTACTTGCTGTATCTTTCACTATCTCACTATACTACATCAGCAAAAATTTCACTTTGTGTCCCGGGCGTCCCGTGCATCTGACGCACGGGACGCCCAAACACAAACCGTTAATCAGGACGCGACGTCCCGCGGACGTCGTGTCCAGATTTGCCTTCCTCTTGCGCAACCCATCCTGACCCCACCGGACATGGATGCCGACGTCCCCTGAGTCCGGAGATTTCACGCTCTCTTCTCCTCCCGTCCGGAGATTCCACCCTTCCCTCTCCTTGCGTCAGGAGATTCTCCGCTTTCTTCTCCTTGCGTCCTGACTATCCCTGTGACCCTTTGCTACTTCCTGCTATCGTCTGATTCTGCTCCGTCCCATCTGACATTGCCCACCCCCTGGCCTTTGACGTCCCAACCCTACCCGTCACTGGCAGCATTAATCCTGATATTTTAAACAACTCCTCTTAACTCTTGACATGACGACCCAGCACTCAAAGATCTGTATTATCTCCCGTCCAAACTGGTGGTCTTGATCTCTACTAGTACGCTCTGGAGACTTTTGCGCCGACATCCCTTGCGCCCAGATCTTTCAACTTACGTACCGTTTGCGTCCCCTGGCGCTGGTTTCTTGGCCAGATTCTCCCGCTACCAATCAATCATGATCCGGACCTTCGTGGCTCCTGGTTCTCGCTACCCGATATTTCATGTCACAATACATCGTGGATGTTTCCTCCTCATCCATACCTAACAGACTTATTTGCCTAATCTGGTGGGATTCCCTCTAGTTGACCCTGACGCTTTATGTACAATATTATGCCGTCGGGGTGAAATCCCGACTACGTCCCCGTCCCCTCATGCACACTGGCTCCTACTGTGTCTCCGCGCAGTACCTCTTCCGATCGTGATTGCTCCAATCCTCCTTCACCTATAACCTAGTATCGACCTCATGAATTGTGCTCCCGCCTCTCCTCCGTGATAAGCAACTACAATGGGCCGCCCGGTCCGGTGGGATCCCTTTCGGCCACTACTCCGTGTTCCTCAGGTGACTACTCAAGACTAAGCGATAGCTGTGAGGCCGGAGGAGGGCTGCTAACAATCTCCCTCGGTCGACTTGTGATGTCCTGGAGGGATCCACCGATTGGATCAGAATCAAGCAACACCAGCGCCAGGGCAGCGGACGTCTGACCGAAACTTGCGGTGACATCGGTGTCCTGTGACTCATTTCGTCTGCCCCGCGGCCTCACTGGGATGAGCATGGGTGAATCAGTCACAGTGTCGCTGCGCCAGGGGGGGGGGTGGTCGCGATTGCAGGTTCGACTTCCGGCTCTCTAATTCGGCACTGACAGCATCCCAGTCGTCGTCATAGCCTTCTCGTCGGTCTTGGTGGACACCGCGTTTTTGCATGATCTTGTTGGTAATCGTTTGACGAATACTCTCAAGAATACTCTTCTGGATTCCCTGGGGACATTTCCGCCATGTCTCTGTCTGCCTAGCAATGAGGTCTCAAGTGTTTGATGGAGGGTTAGCCAGATTCGTTGCACATGTACGCCCGATAATTCGCATATACTCACCTCCTACTAACTCACGCTTGAAGTCAGCTGGCTCGGTATATGTACCGGTTTGCCATGCCCTAAGTGTATGACAGAGTATAGCGCACGTCAAGCAGACCATGGTACCGTTGATCATGTCTAGGAAATCCGGGTCTACTATACCCCGCATTTTCTTCCCTGTGAAGTACTTACCATATATCGACTCGGGGATCTGTGGTGCAAGGAATCGCAGTTTCACGCGCTGTCTTGCCATGGCTGTCGTCAGTGGTAGTCACATGTAATTGTATGGGAGAGTCATCTGCGGGAGTCCAACCTCGTACCCTTTGGGGTCGCACATAAACCTGTCCTTTTCCAGGAGATAATCAACCCTACCTGCCGTACCCTGGGTATTTTCTGGTAGTTCATATAACGCTACAATGTGATGCTTCACATGGTAGATGAATTGTACGCTTACCCCCGACTGCTTCTGGCGTATCTAACTGGATCAATACAATTTCCTGCTTCTCCCTATATCTAGCTGACTTTACTTACTAGGCCCACGATCTCCTCCGATGGTTCCATACGCCCCACACCTGGCGTCTTACTCACCACCTCATCCCAGATGCTGTGTATCTTGGCCATCAAAGCAGCTGGATTCGGGACTGGGTTAACAAACAGAGTGTAATTGAGGATCAGAGACTTTGCCAGAACTACCATGGCAAGCTCAAGTCCCACGAGTGTATTCCGAGGTGTGCTGGCTACAGACCAGCCATTGTCGTGCGCTCTTGTGTCTAGATGACCAGTCAGACTAGAACCTCTGATAACAGAAGAATGTACACTCC